GCCTGGGAAAGGTCTGAATCCCACGGAAACACCCCCGGTCTCTGTCCCCCTCAAAGAGTCCACAAGGAAGCTTCACAGCCTGCAAGGAGGCGGGCCATGTCTTGAAGATGGGAAAAAATACTGCCTAGACTTCAGAGTGAAAACTATGTGAAAAGCCAATGGTAGGAACGGAAAAATGCTCCCTAGCATTTTAAAATGCCTTCCACTGTCGACAGAAATTATCTATTATCCTGAAGTGTTCACTTGACTGAGTGCACTTACAGAAGCATCTGGAGAATTTTAAAACATCCTTTTATTAAAAAAAAAAAAAAAAAACAGAAGAAGGTGAAGGTCAGTGGAATAATGTGGTACATGAATGCAACATTATGTTTCAGATAGAAAAAGCCAGAGAAATGTTCGTGTGTGGCAATGATAACCCTCTTGCGCAAGTTCTCAAAATTACCAGGCAAAGGCAACAAATCTACAAGCTGGGTAGAAGACAGATATCATTATCTTTCTTTAAGACCTAGCCACATGCCTTACAGACAATTTGCCTCTTTAATACCAATATCGAGACTCATGCCTCAAAAACAGGTTGAAAATCGGGTAAGAAGAAATGATCCAAGAATTAATTAACTAAATAGGAGACTGAAGTAAACAAAGGACAAATTATCATATCAAAATGAAAGACAAGAAACACGATTAAATTAGGCTTCAAAAGACCTCAGAGAAACTCATTAAAGGCATAATATGCATTTACCTGGTTTTTATTTTTTCATGATTTAATTTCTAACTTTATTCCCTACCATCTGATAATTGGAAGAAACACTTATTCTAACCATGGGCAACTGAGATGATTTTTCTTTTTTTATGTTTTAATTTTAACTCTGCTTTCTTTGAGAAATGTTCTCAAAGGTTGAATCATATCGTCACCAAAGTAACTGAGATGATTTTAATGTTTATTTCAAGGCCAGGAGACAAAGAAACCTATTTATTGCCGAAGGGGACTTTTTTTTTTAATTAATGCTTAATTTTTTATGTCTTAAAGCACAGACTGTTTAAAATCATTTATAATGATGCTGTAGGGAGCTTGTTCCTGGGTATGCAAAATAGAAATGATAAATTTACAATTATTAAAAAAATTAATAGTTTTGAGGACTGAGTTGTCCCTTTACTTTCTAGATGGATTTGTCTGAAGCATAAGAGACATCTATCTTTAAAAACAGGGTAAAAACAAGGCCTGTGCAGGAGGGTGGGCTGAAGCTTTGATTCACTTTAAAGTTTGAACGGACTGGTTCACGGTTCAACTGGAAGCCCTGTTTTTCATTATTTAGAAAATAAAAAATCATATTGGCCTTGGGACCAGCTTTCTTTCCGTTTTATTTCCTGGGAAATTGCTCTGATGAAGTGGAGAGTCATGAATTCTTACTAACCACCTTTCCTGTGACTTTGAAAGAGTCCCTGGTGGAAATTAGACAAATAATTTACTTGCACTTAAACGCCAGATTTTTTTTAGTTACACTTAAGAAAAATAATTGAAACGTAGATTTAAATCGTTTCTGCTGCTACACTTCAGGATTCTAATCAAATACTTTCAGCTCTTATGCAAAGCATTCCTCAACAGAGAAGAGAAAAACCACTCTCCCTGACACCTCCGTTGGCAGAATTTCCGGAAGGGCCGGACACCACGTTAAGAGCAGAGGGAAGGACGCTTGGCTGAGGTGGGAAGAAAGAAAATGCACCTCAGGACACATTTTCCCTTTCATTCAGGTCTCAGGAGAAAGCTGAAAATGGTCAAATATGTTTCAAGTTCCTTAAGCATTCGGGCTATACCTTAGGCTGTTTCGAGTGCCCTGCATTTTAAGAAGGTCACTATGTATTTGTGCTCCTGACCATACTGGATGGAATGGATCCACGTGCATGGACCTTCTCTCTTCCCCCTCACCCTTCACCTCTCACCTCTCCCTCCGCCCCTGCTCAGCACCACGCCTTCCACGTGAGACTGTCATCGTGCCAGGCCTCCTCCTGCCTCACAGCCTGTACTTGCTCTGTCCTCTGCCTGGACACCCTTTCTCTTGATTATCTACGAGCTTCCTTCACTTTCCTCAGGTTTTTGCTCAAACGCCACCTTTCCAGAGGGGGAAAGGCTTCTCCAACCCTTTCCACTCTCTCCATCTTATTCTGCCCGGTCTCTCTGCTCACAGCGCTTGCCTGGCACACACGACTGCGCATTGTCCGAGTTCCCCTAACAGACGGGGAGACTCCCGGGGGTGGGGAGTGTACATATCCTTTCACTGCTGGGTCCCCGGCACCCAGGCCAGCGCCTAAGGCTATACAGACACTCAAAGCACTAGCTGTCAATTACAATCTCGACGCTGATCAGCTGGCAGGCACTTTTGCACTTGGCTTCTTAAACCCACGAGCCTTCTTGAAGGAGAACAAGACGTTCGAGTTATCAATTCTGATTCTCTGGAATGTCCTGGGCACAGTCCTGCCCAGATATCACAAAGGAAGAATATATTTTCGTAAAGTCGAATGACCCTTGCCAAGCAAACAACAGGCCACATACCCTTAACCCAAATGTCCATCACGAGAGCGGTCACTTCTGGAACAGCAGAATAATTTCAGTGTAACTACACTAGTAAACTCTTTAAGGGCTGATGGGCCTAACGGTGGACTCTGGCTCCTCGCCATATAAGGAAAAGTCTTCACAGAAAAAAGAGTTTTCTTTTTTCTCCACCTTGTTACCAACCATGGGGTGAGTTTCTGCTGATTACTCTAAATGCAAGGGAGTCAAGGCTGAGAGCCAAGCTTGGAAACATTACAATCATTGACTTTTGCCAAAATAAAGTCAATATTGCTTTTTCTCTTAAAAATACCAGCCGCTGACTAAAGATCCATGTATAAATGTATAAAATGCATGTACAGTGCTCTGTGCTGTTTTTAAATTTTTATTGGAGTAGAGTTGATTTACAATGTCGTGTTAGTTTCAGGTGTACGGAGTCTGTGCTGGTTTAACGTCATCTTTTCACAGTCCTCACAGGGAGACGATAATTCTCATTTAAAAAACTTTTCAAGCTGATTTCTAAAACAGATACATTAGCGAGATCAAATATTTAATTTGTTTTTAAGAAAAAAATCACTATTATTTTCATAAGCGGGAATACACCATGTAAAAAATGTATGTGTCTTAAAAAGGATTTAAATAACCAGTTTATGTTTTGCATTAGAGTTATAACTTCATCTCTTGAAAAAAACGACAAAGCTGATGTCTCAGGAATATTATCTGTTGCATGAAATGAGGCCCACATGTAGTCATGGTACGTTTTTGAAGACATTTCAAGAATGAAGGCAATGTCCCATGTGCTGTTGCTTTGAGATGAGGTGGAGGATACAACTTCCAGCCTCTCCTAAACATCTCGTAGGTTTCTCCCTCAAAACTGTACTCAGAAGGAAATGTGTTAGAAACACAATGTTTTGTAAACAAATCAAGGGCTGTGGCAGCTTCACTGCTCCCTGAAGTTGGAAGCCTTAACAAAGCTGGTCCACCAGGTGCTGTAGCTTTCTTCTCCATTTTTCTGAAAGAAATCTCCACACTATGACATAAAAGCGTGTTGGACAGTTAGCTCATCTTTTGGGAGCAGCCGATATAGGGCCCTGGGGATTCCAGTTAGGAGGGGACTTGTAAGTTGTTCAGGCCAACTCCTCCACGTACCAGAGGGGAAGGTGAGATCATCCATCAAGGCCCAGAAAACACAGAGAGGAAGGCAAGCCAGCAAAACGCTTCTTAAAAAACAAATCCCGGTGTCTAAGCAACCACATTAGGTCTGGCTCCTATGAAAAAGAAAACGGCATCTGCCTTTGAATAAGGCAACAGAATTTCTAAGGTGTGGGGGCGGGGGGAGGAAAAAAAACACTTTAAATGACAAGGCCCAGAATGGGACCACAAAGGAACAACAAAGATGGTCCCCTCTAGGCCACGGTGTTGAAAATCAAATGTAAAGGATGGAGCTGGTGTGAAATATCATGACGAAGAAGAAGACGATTCGGGATTTTGAGGTTTAACAGAGAATTCTTAAATTGCTAAACCCAAACCAAAAACACAACAACAAAATAAAACAGGAGAGAAAAGCATTCCTGAGAGACTTCCTCATCTTGGGGAAACCTCACGAGGACTGAAGCGACAGCACATTTTTCAAACAAAATGAATGTGCGAGAATCAGTACCAGGGTAGACTCCCTCGCAAAACCTTTTTTCTCATTTTATCCTTGGAGGATAAAAACACACACGCTCAGACTTTGTTTCTTTAAAAGATATATGCACCCCTATGTTCACAGCAGCACTATTTACAATAGCCAAGACATGGAAACAACCTAAATGTCCATCAACAAAGGAATGGATAAAGAAGAGGTGGTGAACATTACTCAGCCATAAAAAAGAACAAAATAATGCCATTTGCAGCAACATGGATGGACCTGGAGATTATCTATCATACTAAGTGAAGTGAGTCAGAAAGAGAAAGACAAATATGCATGGTATCACCTATATGTAGAATCTAAAATATGACACAAATGAACCTATCTATGAAACAGACTCACAGATATAGAGAACAGACTTGTGGTTACCAACGCGGGCGGGGGGTGGGGGGAGCTGGGGAGGAACAGACTGGGAGTTTGGGATTAGCAAATGCAAACTATTATATACAGAATGGATAAGCAACAAGGTCCTCCTACTGGACAGCACAGGCAACTACATTCAATAGCCTGGGATAAACCATAATGGAAAAGAATATAAAAAAGAATGCATATATGTGTACAACTGAGTCACTTTGCTGAACAGCAGAAATTAACACTGTAAATTAACTATACTTCAACAACAAAAATATAAATTAAAAACAGGCAAACAAAAAAGGAAATTAAAGAGGTAATTAAGCCTAGTGCCCCGCTCCGTCTGGACGCATCCACCCTGCACTTGGCACTGACCCCTGTGTCCTGTCTCCCAGAGGCAGGATGACCCCTTACCGGGACTGGTGAGGGCTCCTAGGGCGCTGCTTGTGGTGGAGAGAGGATTTGCATTGGTGGTAGTGGCTGAGGTCTGGGCTGCGGCTGCAGCCGCCGCCAGCGTTGCCAGGTTCTGTAACTGTAAAGCATTCATGCCTGTGGTGGGGGGGGGAAGAGAGAGGCAACGTCAGCAGTAGGCCCACTTCACCCGTTTCCAAAAAGAGAGGGCAGGGGACATGGGCGGAGAGCTCCGGGATGGCACACTCGCCCCAGCTGCCCTGGGGACTCGTGTGTCACCACGCAGCCTGTGCCAACCCAGCACCCTCTTCCTAACGCCTCCTCCCAGGCAGGTCATCCTAAAAGATAAGCAACAGGTTTCTGTGTGGACCATGGACAGCAGGGCCTTCCACTTCGTGGCTGTCAAGAAACTGTGACATCCGGGCTTGGACAGCTGGAGTTTCAAGGGAAACTCTCCATCCCTAAACTCGACAGGTACACGTACGAGGTATTACAGAAGAAGTGTTTTATTGCTCTGAAGCTGCACTGATTCAGTTTCCTGGCTCTATCAGCTGTGTGACTCTGCACAAATTTCTTAACCTCTCTGTTTCCCGTTTCCTGAGTCAGTGGTAACAGTTACTGTACCTTCCCTCACATGGTGGTTGTGCAGATTAAATAACTCAATGAATGAAAATTACCCAGCATAATAACTGGCATGATGTAAGCCCCCAATAAATGTTAGCAACTATTGTTGCTGTTAGTATTATTATCGACCCTGAACTTCTCTCTCCAGGTTTATTTTGAATGTGAACTTGAAATCGCGTCCATGGCAGGAACTCAAATAATATTTGCTGAACAAAAGAATGAAAAAAGTGGCAATGCCATAATATCTTTATTTGTGAACTATTTATGTTTGCCTTTTAAACGTATTTGTATCTGAAAGAGGAACTACTTTTTAGCTAGAATGAATCGAGGGCTAACGAAAATTAAGAAATGAATAGCAGAGAGAAAGGAAACTCTGCTGAGAGGTCTGGGGCTGATTCGTCACGGGGGTGCTGGCAGGCCCTGGGGGGCTCGGGCCTGGAGCCTGTGCTATGTACCCTTTTAGTTTCTTTTCTCCCCCTCCTTCTGTTTCTCAATACACAGGTTCTCTGCACAAAGTCTTTTTCCAAGATTCCCTTTACCCCCACGTACATTCAAGATGCAGGAAACAATGGTCCTCTCCTCATATGGAGGAATTTTATATAGAAAGATATGGGAGTTAACTCAACAGCTTAATTTTACCTTATGTCTCAAATCCGGGTACTCAATACATGGCTGCTGAGCAAATATAACCTGCTTTATAACAGGAGACAGTGGTCTGACAACAGTGCTGGATGGGGACGGGGGGGGGGTGGATGGAGGAGCAAGAGAATGTTCTAGCAACACACCTGCGAAGCCCCCGGCCACCATGTGGAGCCCTGTCTCAGCTTGGCTCAGAGCCCGGCTGCCAGGCTCACTTACCCTGCTCCTCCATCCTGGCTGCTTCAGTCAAGACTTATTTCTACTCAGAAAAGAGTTCCCCAAGTCCATGCTGCAAAATGGGTTCTCATTTTGCTCAAAATGATACTCTACCTTCTTGCAGGAGGCACCCAGTCCTGTGGCTTACGGTAAAAGCCAGCACCTGCTTCTCAAACCCACGTAGTTCCTGGGGATGCTGAGAAGCAGGACAAAGCATTGGGGGCATCCTGTGAACGTGACCCCGCTCCATCGAGCAGGGGACACTGGGAACAAAGCTCTCTCCTCCCCTCAGATCAGGCGTCAGACACGGTGGTTCTGATGAGACCTTGGGAGTGGAAAAAGTCCAGGGCCTATTTTTCAGGTTTGCTTGAGGAATACGGAGCTGGGGGAACAGGGCTTGAGTGCAGACCCCATCGGACACTCCCCCTCCCGCCCCTACCCAGGGGGCGGCTCCTGAAAGCAGCTGAACACACTCATGCTGGCATGACCAGGGCCGTGCTTGGGGTGATGCTGCTGGGTGTGTGTGTGTGTGTGTGTGTGTGTGTGTGTGTGTGCGTGTGCGTGTGCGTGTGCGTGTGTGCGTGCGTGTGCGTGTGCGTGTGTGCGCGCGCGCGCGTGTGTGTGTGTGCGCGCGCGCGCGGTGCACCAGCACGGGCCGGCCTGGCTGCCACGGCCCCTCTAATGTGCTAAGGACGTAACGCAGTCAACCAGACACCGTCACCAACAGACGGCTGTGCAGACGAGAGGAGGGTTTAGCACCGACATTAAAGTCTGCACATCTGGCAACGGTTAATGATCAGCCGAGCACCCTCCTCGGCCTGGGCCGGAGGGTCCCCCAGGGCACCTGCTCTGGCCTGCCTGGTGGAGCCACGGCCCGATTCTGGGGCTGGAAGGAGCTCAGCCCACTCATCTGGGTCAGAGCCTCACAGATCCTCCAGAGGCTGAGGAACGTTCCCTCGGAGGGTGACTGACAGTCTGTGTCTAACACGCACTTTCTGCATGTTATCTGTAAACTCCCCCATCGCTGTTCCGAACTCTTGCTGCGTTCACCAATTCCTCCTTTCACATCGTTTGTACGGATTGCTGACCTTCACCACTAGATACTCAGTTCCCTGAGGACAAAGATGCCTTATTCGCTTTCAACTCCACACACACACACACACACACACACACACACACACACACACACGGCTACATTCACTCATAGTAGGTGATGGGTGGATCCATGGAAGATGAATGAACAGGGCAACACACAGCATGAAATGTTCCCACGCTGCTATAAAGAGCACTGTTGGGACTTCCCTGGTGGTGCAGTGGTTAAGAATCTGCCTGCCAGTGCAGGGGACATGGGTTCGAGCCCTGGTCCGGGAAGATTCCACATGCTGTGGAGCAACAAAGCCCGTGCGCCACAACTACTGAGCCTGCGTGCCACAACTACTGAAGCCAGCGCGCCTAGAGCCCGTGCTCCACAACGAGAAGCCACCGCACTAAGAAGCCCGTGCACCGCAATGCACCCCACTACCAGCAACTAGAGAAAGCCTGCACGCAGCAATGAAGACCCAACACAGCCAAAAATTTATTTATAAAAAAAAAGAAAAAAAAAAGAGCGCTGCCTACAGACCCAAACAAGGTTTTTCTCTGTTCTTCGTTCTTCAGGATCTACGACAGCTTCAAATATTGACTGTTTCCCTCAGCCGTTAATTAATCCCTTATGCAAATACTTATTAGGACCGTGCGTTTTCCTCATCTCACCCACGACACTCAGCGCTGTCCTGGAGCCCCGCCGACCACACTCGGGCTCTCTGTCCAACCGTCCTCTCCCTGTGTGCCCCCTTCCACCTCTCACCCCCGAGGGGCTGCCCCGCTCAGCCCCTCCCCGCCTCCGCTGCCAAGGCCGGGCTCTGGGGTGCCACACCAGGCAGGGCCAACTCCGTCCAACCACCGCACTGCACTGAGGGGGAGGATACAGACCAAAGGAAGCAGAGATGAAGCTGGGAAGGAGAGGCCGTGGTGACCCCAGCATCTGAAGGAATGGGGGGGGGCACGGGAGGGAGGGGGAGCGTTAGATGGAGAGAAGCAGCAGAAGGACCCACAGGTGCCGCCCGGCCAGCCAACCGTTACCACGTGGCCGCGACAGGCCAGAGCCGGGGCCGCACCCAGAATTAAGTGGGGAAAACAAGACGCTCCCCGCCCCAGGAGGCTGCTGGAGATCAGAATGGAGGGGAGCCAGGGACTGGGGGCAATCCGGTCCGTTTCTGGAAACAGACCTGGATCCAGAAGCTCATTCTCACGCGTCTTTGGTGTTTGTATTTTACTTTTAACATCTTTATTGGGGTATAATTGCTTTACAATGGTGTGTTAGTTTCTGCTTTATAACCAAGTGAATCAGCTGTACATATACATATGTCCCCATATCCCCTCTCTCTCGCGTCTCTGGTCTGACAGGGATGAGAAGAGGACAGGGCAGCACTGGGCGGCTGCGGAGCTGAAGAGGCCGGGCCGTCCTCCTATCTGTCCCTTCGTGGCCCTCCGTGCGGGCTCCAGGAGGCCCCCCTTCTCTCCTCCTCACTTTTCTGGGTGCAGTCCTGTTCCCACAGCCCTGACCCCGACATTCTTCCCTTCGACCTGTCCTGTGTTCCTCGGGCCGGGAAGGCACAGCTCTCCCTGCTGGTGACAACAGTGACAAGGACACCGTTTACTGGAGGCAGCACGGGCTCCGCCTCCAGGACATCTGGGCTCCACTCGGGCTCGGCCTCCCCTCTGCCAGCCTCCCTGGCCTTGAGCCCATCAACTGTCTGCCTCTTGGATTTCTTGGCTGTGAAGTAGGTATAAAACTGAACGGACCTCGAGGGTAAAGAGAGTAAATGCTTCGTACACTTGAAGCTAAAGAACAACTCCCAGGGCAGAGCAGACTCTTATCAGCTGGATAATAATCACAACAGTATTACCCCCCAGTAATGAGGATAATGGCACCAAAGACAAAGCACGTGCCGGACACACTAATCACGCTTAGTATTTGTAACAAACCCACGTGATGCTGGCACTCTCGCAGTCCTACGTGCCACAGAGAACGAGGGAGGTCAGAGCCCTGGGGACAGGAGGCTGGTTCTCGGTCCCTCCCTGCCCCCCCGAGCCTCCCCACGCCTGTGCCTCTGTCCCTCTTGGTTCCCACCTGGGAAGTGTGGGGGGGGGCATGGGGAGGCAGTGAGAGGAGGGAAGGGGTGACGCACACAGGGCTTCACAGGAAAGGGGCCGGGACATCAGATGTAAACGTCCACCGGCTCCTGACACTTGCCCATCATGGCCTTGCTCCTTCTGATGGAATCTCAGCAGAGAACGGCTGTGGGTGAGGGATGCTGCCTGGCATGAGCACGCGTGGGTCCTGGTTAGCAGGAGCCCAGGGTGCAAGGATGCGTGTACAATGGTGCTCCTGCTTGGCTTCTGGGCACCTGAGCCCCAGAGGGCCCGGAACTGAACCTGTGATCTGCGTCAGCAGCTAAGAACCCAGCTAACCAGGCACTAGATCTTGTCTTGAACTCAATCAACCCTTCAGTTTCTTACCCTCATTTCCTCTCCCCTCCATGCTCAGAATCCAGACATTACAGACCCCGGCCCACGCATCCTCGGGGAACGGTGGGCCGCACCCTCTTCTGCACACT